AAAAAAAAAAAAAAAAGAAAGAGAAAAATAGTTTATATTTACTGTTACTGTTGTTGAACAAGTCTAAAAAACTTTTAGAACGATAAACTTGTTTACGAAGACTAGTAAAATTGTTGTTTTAAGGTGATGACAAGTGATTTTAAAGTAGCCATCAAATAAGAACGGGTAGTTGACTTAATTCTGTTACCAATTTGAAACAGAATTGGTGTCGGAAAATCGCCGAACTGCCTGTACAGTGACTGCAGTTAGTCTTACTGTATGCATAGTTTCAAGTTGATTTTGGCCAACAGAACTGTCCACAGTTTTTATTTTTTTTCAGAGCATATTAGACCCAAATACAGTAGACAAGTTGACAATGGTTTCTTTACTTCCTAAAGCTGTTCATTGCTAATCATTCAACTGTCTTCTTATTTTACAAATCGTTTTTGCTCTTTTCTCTTTCCTCAAATTATTTTCCGTATCGGTTGTCTTAAGTACAAGTAATTACTATAACTGTTCTTGATATATGCAAGCGATCTTCTAGAAGTTCCTGAAGAGAGAAAAGAAGAAGAAACAGTAAAAAAAGCAATAAAATTTTTTTGCTTAGTATCGGTTACACCTTTTTCATTAAAAAATTTTTTTGCTGACTTTTCTATTCTAAATCTTATAAAGAAAATTTTTTTGTTGTTTTTAGTAATTTACTTCTTTATCTTCTCTCATTTTTCCACCTTTTTTTTTTTTACTAAAACAAACTAAAACAAACTAAAATATTAAAAAAAAAATAAGAAGCAAGAGCAGAAAGTTAAAGCAGATGCGGTGCTCAGAAATTGGGAAATTAAAACTAACTTTATGCACTCAAAATAATGTGTAACAACAATTGCCTTCAATACACTGTGGTAATTGTTTAGGCGAATAAAAAAAAGTTAAAAAGAAATTGCCCTATTAATTTCCACGTGATGACTAAAGTTCTTTTTAACTAAACTTTCTTCTCAACCATGATTCAAAAGTTCTTGTATTTTAAAACAGTTTTAAAATTTAAACCTTCTCAATCATCTTTGCAGCTAAGAAACAATCAACCAGTAATAGGATTAAGCTAACGCGTGAAAAATTGGTGGCAATCATTAAGTAATTCTAAGTGCAATGCAGCGAAATTAGTGAAACTGTAGCAACGAAACAGTTTGTCTCCACTTTTTGCTTCACCTCTCCAAAGAGATCATTCAAATTAAACTATCAAAGCTGTCAATAATAGCAAAAATAAGAATAGTAAAATAAGTTCCCTGATTTTGAACATGTCTGGATAGAGCAGAAAAATTATTAGAACCATAAACAAGCAGTGAAATCTTGAAAAGGCGGTATTCTGTGGCTTAGCTGATGACAGTGGGTTATTACTATTTAAATAATTTTATAACAAACATTGAAAATCTTCATAAAATATATAAATCGTGATTGAAAAGAGCTACTTAAATGGTTGAAATTATTGAAACAAAAAAGAAAGAAAAAGATGATAATATATTCATATATTTTGAATCAGAAAGCTGCTAATTTTCAACTCTTTATAAGGCACAGTACGTCTAGATTAATTGCTCAACCAGTAGTTTGCTCCAATTAATTATTATTTGAAAAGAAAAGTTTACCGATACGATTGTCAAAAGTCTTTATATCAAAAACGAATTCTGCTCATTTGCTGCAGTTTATAGCTAACAAAACAGCATCTCTTAAAGAAAAATCATAGAATTACTTATAGATTGGTGTAAAGTTTCAGCGTAAAAAGTGGAATAAACACAGTGCGCTTATTCGATAATCCAACTACAAGGTGAGATTATTTCTTTTTTTGATTTCAGTAAAGTAGTTCAAAAAAAAAATAAAATAAAAAAAGCATTAATAAAATATAAGTTGTTTGTTGTACTGTTTGCATTAAAGTGTTTTTATTTATATAAACGAAACAGAATAGAAGAGAGGAGAGAACGAAATAGAAGAAAATACAGGAGAGAGAATAAGCAAAGCAAGGCATAGACGAAATCATCTTAACAACTTTATGGTTAGCATTTCGAGTTAAAGCCACTTGAATTGTATCTGTCGTCAACGGAATCTGCTGTAACAGCGATAACCACCATCGCAAACGAAAACAATCATTACCGATCCCTGACAATGGTGCTAACAGTGGCACAGCAACAGTAACTAACAATTTTACCATTCATCGTACAACGTTTTTCAATATATACTACAAAAAACTTAAACAGTTGTAATACACAACTGATGTTCCCAACAGTTTTAAGCGTCTATGTGTGGAACTTGGAAAACAAATCACCCATATAAAGTCTATCAGTCAATCACCGAATATTGATAAAGTCTCGACAACTTCCCAAAAACTAAGCTCTTTGACTTTTAAAACATTTCAGTCAGTTATTATTTAGTTTATAAACTAACTGTTAATCTTGTAAATTTGTTCATTTGTCGCTTACCACATTTTCTTTCAACTGTTTAAAATTTCGGACATATATTCATTGGTTTCATAAATTTAATTACTGCAAAAAAGTAATTGTTTTTTAACTGAATATGTTTTTTCATCGCTTATCTTTTATTTAAAATTATACATTATATTTTCACTGATAGAACAAGCTAGGAAATAATAAGTGTTAAAACAAAACATTATTTTGGTCTTTACTATTTGTAAACCTTTTTACTGATGGGGTTTGAAAAAATAAGAAGATCTAAGAGACACTATTTTAAATACAGAGGCAGTGAATTTGTAAATGTAATCATTAAAGAGTAAATTTACCTGAAGAAAACTACTAAAATAAGGCAGAATAGATAAAGATGATAAAACATTGGCTTAGAAGATTGTGGTGACGGTGGCGATGACGGTGAACAGCTGGAACTTCCGCTAACAAAAAGAGGCAGGGAGGTAAAAGAGATGATAAAAGATGATAGAAAGGTGCAAAGGTGCTGCTGGTGCCAAGGAGCAGCTGAAAATCAAATTATGCCTCTGCAGTCGTTGCTGCTGCTGCCACTGCTGTTGTTGATGCTGCAGTTACTGGTGCTGCTGCTGCCGCTGCTCAAGCTCGTCGAAATTCTCTGGCTTGGAATATGCCGAAGCACTACGAGACCGATGTTGATGATGATGAAGATGATGATAATTATTGCCAGGAACAAGGCATTAGACGCACATACTGTCGGCAGATAATTGGAAAAGTGAAAAAGATAGAATCATTTGGGCGGAGAACAGTTGTTTTCGACAGAAAAACAACAAAACAACAAAACAACAACAACAACAACAAACACTAACGACAATAATACCTCATCCGTTAATTCTGATAGACTAATAGTAGAACACTATTCGAAATATTTGCTGTATACTCATATGTTTAGCTAAAGCACTCTTTCTTTCTTATTATTTCTGCTACATTATTCAACAGACAACAACAAGGGCAACAACGACAAATTTCCTCTGACCAATAAACTGCTGTGTAGACAGTGTATGAACCTTAACGCTCTACTCAACTATTCTTCTTTTTTGATCTT